TTATTATGGTATATATAGATTATATTAGATAGGAACAGATGGCATATATTTTTATAAAACATGCAATATTCAAAACCATAGTAATTATCAACTCACTAACATTTATCATCCTCTTGTTATATTCCCTGGTAATTTAGCACTGTTTAATGACTCACATTCATTCTACAATTTTCGTAAAGCCAACTACCCAAGTTATACTGTTATAGTATTAAGTTTATGACTGCCTTTGATTTTGACACAACTTTTTAGGACTATGATGTTGACTCTCCTACGAATGCTAAAAAAATTTTCATTGACTATACATTCCTGAATTCTTCATATTGTCCAACTAGCTAGTTTATTTTCTATCTAGATTTTCCTACTTGAGCCTCTGTAGCTCCTTTTCTCCATCTACACTTTAACTTCAGTGTTACTGTGAACCATACCCGTTGTCCCGTTCAATGTACCCTTATGGTTTACATATTACCAAAATAATTAACCTCTCATACACTGTATGATGTTGTTCAATCTAAACACCTTCTTTACCTACTTTAAATGATTATGTTGTTTTAACTAAAGTCCAAACTTGTTTTTCTTCTTTATCCTATATAGTATACTTATATCTTACATCATATTATATATATTTTTGCAAAATTCAAATACATAACACTGTACTGTATTTTAATTCGGATTCCACCTGTCATGTTAAATAAAATTAAAATAAATGAGCTAAAAATAGGTACAATAATAAAATGTTTGCTTTGATATACACGTTTAGTATAAATTACACAGTCTAGTAGCAATTAAATTATAAATTATTTTATAACTAGCTGGTAACTCGATTTAGTTAAAGGAAAAACTTTTTAGTCAGTTTATATATTTATATTTATATTTATATATACTTGAGTAATTTAATACAATTCTTTGTTTTAGTTTTCAATAAATAATAAATATTTAATAGTTGGACCTGATATTAATACAAATAAAGTACATATTATTATAATAACTTCATTAAGTTCGTTAAATTCAATCGATATAAATTATAAATCACCTCATTCGAAAATGATACTTGTTAACAGATTTTTGTTAAAATATTGGCGGCTGATATTTTTTCTTCAAAATGAATGACCATAAGTAGCTTTTTTATATGCTTATAGATGTATGAAAATATAAAATACTAAGAACAGTGATAAATGACATTTTTAAAGTACCATCAAGACATAGTTTCAGAACTTTGAGAATGTCACATGAATATTTTTGAGTACCCATTTCGTTTAAAATAATATTTATTATTTAAAGTTTAATACAAAAATCATAATACACAATTTTATCATTATGAAAATGATAATCCATATTGAAATGTTTCAACAAAATTAAATAATATTAATGCTTTATAAAAAACATTATTTTGTTAATAAATTAAATTGATACCACTAGTGCACCCTATCTAGATCATATTATATAATTATTGTATATTACCTAAGCATTATATATTGAACAAATTCATTATTATCACGTCACTATCAGAATATAACCTAATACTTCGGGCACTGGTCAATAAAGAAACTCGTAAATTGCAAAATTGTGTTATTTCCAAATTATTTTATTCGGTTTATATTTATTGGAATACAAATGGCGAACGGCAGTAACAAAGTGGTTGACTGGTAGAGAAATATAATTCCATTAAAAAAATTGATAATATAAAATTGAAAAAAAAAAAAATATAATATATATATAAATTAAATCGTACGACGTACCTATCGTAACACGTGAGTATATTTTCGTTGATCATTCTATCTCGTTTTCATATTATCCAAAATTCAAAAAAAAACCTATCAGTTTTTATAATGATATAAATAAATGAAAAAAATATTTATAAAAATATTTTCTCAACTTATAATGTTAAGCTAACGAATTTTGTGCCTAAAGTAAATTCGAGCTCATTGTTAATTACACCAATAGGTCCCTATTATTGATGAAAAAATACAAAAAATTGAATGTTTAAAATAATATGTAATATAGTTTTAAATAATTATTAAAAAACTATTCACATATAAAACTTTAACTTATCTCTAGTGGTACGACTGCCCAAGTTAGTACAATAGTAAAAATGCATCATAGTATTGCAGAATATTAAGATAATCCGAGCACAAATCCCACAGTTGCAGTGAGAGTAGCCAAATATAAGAAGGTAATAAAAAATCAAGAAAAGTATGAAAGATGAGTTATCATTAAATAGAAACAGTTATAAGACCTTGAAAAGAACCAATTTTTCATCTCAATACTTTGTAAATCCAATGAATATTTAAATATTATATATATTCCCCAAGTATTAATATTTTATTTTTAGAATTTTTATTTTAAACCGTGTAATAATTTTTATAAATTCGATTAAAACAAAGATAGGGTATATGTATTAATAAAAGCATAAATTAAATAAACTAATTTTAAGATATTACTGCAATAGTTATTAATAATATTAATAAGCTAAATGGAAAGGAAAGTATATATAAATAAATAAATTACAAATAAAATGAATTATGTTGAAGACATTTCATTAATATATCTATAAGGCTTTACTAAATACTTATTAATTATTTAATGCAATTTGTATTCCATTCTTTCAGATATGAATTGATATTATAAGTCACTCTAACTTCATCACAATAAAAACTATATAATTTATGCGTGATTCAGAAATATCAGGTTTTGGTAGTAAAATTATTTTATATTTTAGCTACTTTTAAAGTAATTAAAAATATTTATATCTATACTATTATACTAGAGTAAAAAAATCAATATGTAATAAAACGAAAGCTCTTCAACCAAATACTTTTAATCAAATCAAAAGTTTGCATGGCCATGTCTATATATATATATATGTTATGGACACAGAAATTAACCAATAATTACTATTAAACTATTGTGTACCTTCTAATGACTTAGGAGTTAGGTTAATATAATAACACAATATTGTGTTTATTATAGGACGTTATGTAATTAATCCTTATTAGATTAAAGCATGTTATACTACTGTTCATTAATACATAATTTATGAACTAATTCTAACTATTGCAAAATGCCCGTTTGTATTAATTTGTCAACTATGCATGTACCATGCACAATACGTATTTCAAAACTTATCACAGAAACTATTTGAATTATTTTTACACAAACGCACAGTCTAGACTTTTAAAATAAAAATATATATATATTTAACTGTGATATCACCTTTAACACGCATCGTTAAACAAAAAAATACTCATTCTTTTCTACCATCGATCTTTTTTCGTTCTCGCCGAAGTATATAATACAGGTGTAATAAAATATAAATAAGACTTGGGCATAATTTATCATTAAGGCATATAAAGGATATTTTTAAGAAGAAATACTCTATAGTAAATACACAAATAAAATAAATTAAATGTAGGTATGCATGATGTTTCCCGAATAAATCTGTTACAAATTAAATTTAAATGTTTAAATGTTAACAATTTTGTCTTATACTATCTAATTTACATGTTTACTGTATATTATAATTGTCCACACAAATGTGCAAATGTGTTTATAACAGCAAGTTACTACATAACTTCAAAAATATTTATGTTTCAAAATAAATATATTTAGTAAGAAAAATAAATAACTTTTTTATTTTTGCCCAGACGATATACTATGCGATCCTGCAATTTGTTCTAAGGAACTATTATAAAACATATCGTTATTGCAACCACTTTGTAAAAACCAAATGGTTATTCCCACCAATATTTTATATCAAAATCCTAAACAGTAAAACCATAATAATATAAGCTTATACGAAATTGGTATAGCTATTAATTTATTATGTATTTAAGTATGATAAAAATTGATAATAGAAATGTCTTATACATCGCTAACCAGTAGAATCTAATCATTTTAATCATTCATTCATACAAATATGTAAATTATGAAATATACCAGTCGACTGTTATCTACCTTTGAAATAACTTTGATGTGTGTACACGCCTAGTGTATAATAATTGTTATAAATGGATCAGATAACAAGAAGTATTAAGATCAAAAAGCTTAAAATAAAAATAATCATTGGGAGGTGTATAGATAAATAACACTTCGCTTGCTCAAAACGTTTTGTTATTCACTATTTCATAATATATTTATAAATTTATAATACTGATTTTAAATTCATAGATTAATAATGCAACACCGAGCTGTGCCCAGGTGAGTAATGAAGCGAATGCCCATTACTCAGTTATTGTAGCCTTGCCAGCTTTTATATTTTTAAATTTATTTTTCCGATTTGATAACGTAACTTATACTTTTTTGACAGATTATTAAGGATTGTTCTGATTAATGAACACGCATACTTTGAAATCCTTGGCTTATTGTACGATTAATCCATAAAGATGAAATAATAAACAATAATATGTTAGGATATAGAATTCATAACTATGGTTAGGTCTACGTGAATAATATGTCTTATTTTTATTTTTTTATTTTTATTGCGGACACGCCGATGAGCGACCATAAGTGCAGCTCTTAAACCTTGATAGACAACGTCCGGAAATTCGATTTGCATGCTTATACTTGATCTACCAAATTATCCAATGGCAACCAATAAACAAAAAAAAGTACTAATTTCTACTAAATATATTTATATTTCTCCTATAGCAACCATCATTTAAAGGTAAAAATGTCCCTCGTAAATCTCAAAAAACCCTGTTTGAGCACCTCCCCGGGTTGGACGAGGAAAATTTTGAATTTCATCCAGGGAACCACTCAAACACACACTGAAAATGTCATAAGAATCGGTCCAGTCGTTTGGGCCGACATAAATGACATACATATAGACACACATTTAGCAAATATTGTTGTGTTTTGTTAGAAACATAATATTATGTAACGACGACCATAATATTGTATTGAACAATTTAGTATCCAATTTACCAAATGAGAAGAATACATTTTAATATTTTATAGAAAATTTTTTGATTATGATAAGTCCTTAAAAATATTTTAAAACTTACCAGACTAGGTATTGGTTTGAATTCATAGTATTTAGTTTTTAGTTGATTTATCACTACACGAATTTTCAAAATTGTATTACCTGAAACAAACATGATATACTAATATTAATAATAATTTAAACCCATAATAATATAAACACAGTTAAAAAATTATTTTATAATATTATGGAAGCAAACAGTTGAGTAGGTAGATAATAAATATTAGAATTCCGAGTAGTAGGTAGACAATGTTACTTACCTATGTAATAAACCTACAGCAACTACCCGATACTAAATATATAAATAATAAATGATTTTTATTTCGTGTCGGGTTATAGCCCTAACTATTTCTATTAAGTTACCCTTCACTAGCTGTGCCAGTAAGCGTATTATTAAATTTATCACAGAAATTTATTTATTAGTCCATACAATATTTACAATTTGTGCCCCGTTCACAAATCACAGAGAATCAGGGCACTGTGGTATTCTATAAACAACGTAGGTAGGTCAACCTACATTTGGTTGATTTCAAAGATATTTTTAATTTAAAGTAAAATATTATGCCATACGGAGTATACCCCATCGACCACAGGACGTAACATATATAACAATTAAAAACAATATCTTATAATATAGCTAATTTATTATTATCCTTTAAATACGTCTTATTGGTAATTTAATTGGGTGGCTTATGATATGAATTAGGTGATAAAAGTGTTGGCTTGTCAAAGACAACTCAGAGCCGTTTAAAGTTTACAAAGTATAATTATTTATTAATGAAAACGAACACATTGCACAATTTTGGCAACGGCTAGAACTGTTTTAGTGGGTGGGTTATAATGACTTTATAGTTTATATATAGGTATATCCGGAACTATTATAGTACACCTAAACTCATTTAAACCACCCACTAGAGGTACTAAGTAGTTACAAAGACAAAGAGTCGTAGGTAACGAGAATGGGTTGATAATTGGAAGCGATTACTATACTGTGCGATAACTCGTTGTATAAAGAGACACCGTAGACTCGCAGATACCGAACGCAACTAAAATAATAAACCGATGAATAATATTATGTAGATCTGTGAACATTATGCGTAAGACGACGAAGCGTTTTAAAGTTTATGTTTATCACTTCTATTAATTTAACATAATATTAAACGGTCTCTTCCAAAACCATCTCAAGTACAATAATAATATATTATTATTATCTTTAATCGTTTTGAACTATTTTTATTTTTTTTTACACCACCACTCAAAAATTTTGATGACAATTTTTATGATCCCAATGATTATTTCTCACATATTGTATCACTGCTGATCCCTTTACGCAGTGTCGTGTATCTACTAGCAGGTGGCCGACCATGATTTTCCGTTTCCGTGTGCGATTTAAATTATGTGAAAATGGGAAAATCGGTTCCTTCACTCCGTAACGTCTGCGGGTGTTACGGTGAGCTTCGTTTAACTTTCAAATAATATCGGGAAATGCATTCAGTCAATCTGCAGAAACCGCAACGAAATCAGCACACTCGGGTATTAGCCAACAAAGCCTCGTTCCGTTCAGACGAATTCAACTTCAAAAGTTCAAAGTCGTGAAACAACGATTATAACTACGTCGTCGGGAATTATTACAATAAGACTTCCACAAGTATATATTGTACTACTTCATTTATCCACTTATATAATGATATATTATATATATATTGTGCTAAATACAAACGGTATAATAGACCACAACAAATTAAAGATCAAAAATCGACTTTCTCGCCACGCGGTACGTAATCAACCGTAAAAACCATCATTTAAACTACATGAGTGTGTCTGAAAGTGTGCGGATAAAACCTCTCCTGAATCGCACAATATTATCAGAGTTTGTATACTTATAAGGAATAGCGTACTAAACGTACAGCATTAAAATAATACGAGGGGTAATGTGGACCAAAAGGGTATCTAGAAATTAAAGGGAGGATGAGCTGGCTTAAAAATACTTACAATAGCTGAAGTCATATAAATATAAATGAAACACTCGAGTTTTAAAAAATGATAAACCATAATAACATGTATAAAATATTGTCGGAACAAACTGTTATAGGGACTAAAGTATCACATATTTTCTTTTTTAGTCAAATTAACTGATATAAAATAAACGATTAAAGTATCTTTGAAATATTATCTAAAGGCTTCAGTTACCATAGCCTTTACCTAGCATCTGCGCACCTGGTTAGCGCATAATTAATATAATTTATACCTATTTTAATATTTGTTGTGTGAGTAAAATATAAACCGATTATTGTTTGCCTTGTGGATAAAATTTTATCGCAAGATACTATGGTAAGTATACTACACATCTAAAAAAAATGTGCCTATTATGAGTATGCACAATGAAGTACAACTTCTTTCAAAGCCATTCAACCGATAAAATATTAAGTTTGTACCGGAATAATAAGTAAAAAAATAACATTTTAAATTGTAATTAATTTATTACTTATTATTATTATACAAATATTATAAGACAAAGGGAAATTCAAAATTATTATACTTGCTGTGTTAACAACTATGGTGATACAATTATGACCCTGTCGACCAAATATAAGTTATAACTTCAAATAAATAAAAACGAGATTATACTTTTGTTCTAATAATTCCCAACGTACTGGTAAACCAATAGTACAACGATTGACAGACATGGCAACACAATATATTTTTTCCTTTACCGAAGGTGGCTCGCGTCTGTCACCAAAATTTTTTTAAAATTTTTTTTCGGCAATGTAAACAAACTCAGGTTTTTCACTTACAACTTAACAATAATAATATATCAAACCAATGAGTATAGTCAATCAGCAAATTTGGAAATTTGAAAATTTGTTATCCCGTTCACCACCACTGCAGAAATTAATTTCCTAAATGTTGGATGACTCAAAAGAAAATAACCCGATTTATAATATGGTTGTAGTACACTTGTACTAATGTAAATATATTTCTTCCATGAAAAATATTTCAATTTAAAAAAAAAAGTTGTTTTATTTAAAATGTATTTGGTTATTTCATCAAGCAAAAGAAATTATAAGACAAACAATAATATTATGTCAATGTACAAAAACAAACGTTACCTAGTATAGATATATTATATAATGAGAATAGGTGAATAAAATTGCTTTTAATAAATTATATAAATCTCAACCTTATACGGTGTGGTGTTATTTGTATCAAAAACATGCTTAACAATATTGATCTGCATCCAGCATATAATCAATACGATTAGTAATGCGGTTACTACCTAAAAACATTGTATTGGATGTAAACTCACAATTGTAAAGTAGGTTAAACAAAGGTTTTGAGATTAAACATTTAAAAGTATTATAAAATATTATTTCGTTTGAAATATTGAATCACTAATAATTGGAATTACAATATTATATGAAGAAGATGAAACTCGTTTCTTGTATTTTAACGATTACCTATCGTTAACTTAAATTGTGGTTCACAATTTTTACAAATGGTAAACATAATAATATTAGTATCATAATAATTGTCTAAATGCCATTTATTTCATATTCAACAAATAATGAGAAGTTAAAATAAATACATTGTTTTTAATTGAAAGATTACAACAAACTTATATTGTTTATACAATGAATATTGCTAAGTACAACAAATAAAAGTTGTTCTTGTTAAAATAAAAAAGTGTACGCAGGGGCAGGGACACTATATATTATATTAACTCCTTAAAAAATATAATTTTGAAAGTTTTAACTTACTATTATTTTAAATAATAAAATGTAGCTATAATAATGATATATGATATACGAACTTATACTATATTGTTTAATAAGTTGTTATTTGATATGATTATTATACCAGGAACATTCGAACGAATAAAATGTATGTTAGTTTATTAGCTATTGGTACCTAATAAGTATAACTGTACCTATTAATATAAATAAAAAAAAACGATTTCTAATTTCTTTTACTCCGGGCCTCGGCCCTAGTTTTTTTATTGCGGCCCATAAGGAACTAGAAACATTTTTTTGTAAGAAATTAAGTTTAAAAAAAAAAATAAGCAAATAAAGTTCCTCTCCAATATCTGTTATCATATTTTGTTTTACGGCACCTACACATAATGTTATTGTTTGATTATGTCATAGTGTCAATTAGAATCACAAAAAAAAAACAGTTTTAATTGTATGTAACGAAAATTGCTCTATGTGTCTTATAAAGTCCTAACGGTACCATAATATAATGTGAAGTGAAAACTGAAAAGTATAAGAAGCGTGGACAGGATTATAAACAAACTTTCTGAAGTTTTTAATCAAAATTTATAAGCTGTAAAAAGAATACATTTATAATATGTTAATTTTCTTATTGAAAATAATATAAAATAAACTCTGAAAAAGATTATTGGAATTTTCGGCCCCAGCCGTCTTACGAATGTTGTTTGGTGACTCAATTAGCGCATTCAAACAATTATTCTATGGAGAGTTTGATTAAAACCATGCATTTATATTTCTCTATTTCTGCATCTCTTCGATTGTAATTTCTCCTGCTAAGCGAAACAATCACTTAGTAGATCGAAAAAAGACATATTATTCCTTTGTACATCGAAACTGAAATTTTTAAAACTCCTTTCGATCCATTCCAAGTGTATTCACAGAAATTTATATATTTTTTTTTAAATCATCATTATGGTAAAACCAATCTATTCCACATAAAGTTCAAAATCTAAACCAAATTTGAATCGCTCCTAAAATTCATTAAACTGACTATTTACCTCTTACCAAGTGGAACTTAAGCATTTACAAAGTATGTATTTCAAAAGTAGAAGGTTCGTACTAAATACGAAATATGTATTTGAATAAGAGTTGTATAACGATTTCGGAAGCAGTTAGTACAATTCAAATATAAAAATCCATTTTTTATACCAACAAAATGATAACATGTATACTAATTGGTAATTAGTAATTAAATACTTCTGGACACTGGTTACTAAATAACATTTGTTTACTTACAATATATAGCTGTCACGGTGATCTGTTATCATTCTGTATGATTGGCATCGAATATGAATTTTTACATTTTTTTTTTAAAGCAAATTATATTTATAT